AACACAAAAAGTAATACTTAAAAGGTTAGAGAATGTTGAAAGTGCTAAGAGGAGATGGTTTGAAGAGGTATAAAATAATTTTATCAGTTTTATAATTAAAAGCTAATATATTAATTATATTAATTATATTAATACTGTTTATAGGCACATTCTCATTTAACGTTAAGCAATAAAATGGCGGTATTAGTTACATGTTATGGTATTACTCAGGATCCATTAATAAACGATTATTTTTTAGTAATACAATTGTATAATATAGATTTAAGAAACTATTTACAACAAAATAATAAACAACTTACATGGAAAGAAAGAATTTACATAGCTGAAAATATAATTAATGATATTTATTTTGTTCATCAAGAGGATGCTATTCATAGAGATTTGCATTCAGGAAATATATTATATTCAAAATATACCAATCGTTGGTATATTGGTGATCTCGGATTTTGTGGACCTATTGATAAACCTTTAAAAAGCGTATATGGAAATCTTCCTTACATAGCACCAGAAGTTATTTTCGGTCAAGAAAGTACTAAAGCATCAGATATTTACAGTATAGGAATGCTTATGTGGGAGATTTCATCTGGACAACCACCCTTTGCTTATTTTGATCATAATTATGATCTTGTAATGAATATAGTGAATGGAATGAGACCAAATATAGTTTCAGGCACTCCATTAGAATATAAGAAATTAATGGTGCAATGCTGGGATGCTGATCCATTGAAGAGACCCGATGTTTTAACTCTTTGGAGAAAATTTGAAAAAATATATAAATCATATCATTATAATAAAAAGAAAAAAAATTATATTAGTAATACAAAATTACTAACAAATTTTGAAACATACTCCAATTTGGTTAGCTCATTAGCTAGAAAATTTAGCAAAGTTCATATTTTTGAAAATTTACCAGAACCAAGAAATGCCACTAAAGGTAAATTATTAGTTGTATTTATTAGAATCATAATCGAAGTATTTAAATTTAATTTTTTAATTAATAGAAGAACAAGAAGGTATTAATTTAAAAATATCAATGTTTAATATTGCTAATTATTTAACTTTACATCTTCTAAAAAAATAAAGAATACGATAGTAAGCAAAATAGCCTTGACATTCCAAATTGTAAGTATTTTAATTTTATAAATTATTTTATAATTTTACTAATTTATTTATTAAACCAACCGAAGTTATAAATAACGAACAAAGCGAACAGAATGAAAATGCAAACCTTATTGGTGAGATTATATTTATTGTAATAGTTATTTTTATTTGTAGTTAAATCATTTAAAACTATTAACACTTTATATATTATAGA